GCGTTTTGATGAGGTGCTGGAGGGACTAGATTCCAGGAGTAATTCCTGATTTGTGCATCATACTCAGCAGACATTGCTCGACGCCACCATTCATCCTGTAAGGCTTCAGAAACATTGTGTGGCTCCTTATGAGTTGAATTGACCAGAGAGGCTGTGAAGGTTAGTCAATCAATGGGTTTCACAATGTTATCTTTGGCTCGGGTTCACATATTGTGGAGATTTGGTGGGCGTTGGGTTGCAGGGTACTGATGGGATCTGTTTACTCGATGTTTTTAGGTGAGGGTGGTTTTGGAGCGTAGTGGCTGGGGTCTATTTATGGGTTGTAAAATTGGTGGGTGTTGCTGGGTCGTGGGTGTTGGCCCATTTTAACGTTGAGCAGTGGGCTCAGTTGAAACAATGGGTGGGCCGAGGGTTGAGGCCCATTTTCAGTTAGAGCAGTGGGCTCAATGTGTGGATTATCAAGAGAGATAGGAAGTAATACCTGGGCTATGTTCGTCGGAGTAGATATTGTAGCTGGTGTCTCCGATTGGTGAGGGTCCGAGCACGAGGGGGTCGCCGGCGTTACTGAACTCTGTATCGGCGAGGAGATGATTATATTTTGTATCGGTGAAGACTCCATAATAGCATTATCTGTAATCATTGGTGCGGATTGCATCGAGAATGGGAAGACATGTTTGAGAAATTGAACATGTCGGGAGGTGTATAGTCTCCCTGATGGCAAATGGAGGCAATAGTAGGCACTTTAGGTTAGGGAGCAACCCATGAATACACAAGGAGCAGCCCGATCTTGGACTTTGTGATGGTTGTATTATCGCAAACAAGGGAAGCACAAGGCACCAAAGACTCGAAGCTTGGCATAGTTCAGGGAGAAGCCAAATAACCTATAGAACAGTGATTCTAGTGAGAGAACCGGTGTAGGCAAATGATTTATCAGATATACCGCTGTGGCGAACGCATAGGGCCTGTACTTCTTCGGAACCGATGCTGTTGAGAGTAACGTGAGTCCTGTTCTACAACATGCATGTGTTTTCTCTCGGATATTCCATTATGTTCTGGGATGTGAGGCGGAGACGTGAGGTGGCTGATTCCATTCGCTGCCAGGAATTCTCGCAAAGCAACAAATTCACCCCCATTATCCGACTATAGAGTGCCAATTCGGTGATGAAAGCGATTTTCAACCAGAGCTTTGAAGGCGATGAAAACAACTTTGACATCAGATTTTCTTTTGAGGGGGTACAGCCATGTATAACGGGTAAAATGGTCAACAAGAAGAAGATAGTATTTGTGATTTTCAGTGGAGAGAATCAGTGAAGACGAGACATCAGTATAAATATATTATAATGGTGTTTGGGAGATAATAGAAGATTGTTTGAAGGGTAAGCGATGACTTTTATTAATGATGCAATCTGAGCAAGACAAGGGGGTGCGAGATGAAGTAGAAATAAGTAGGAAAAACTTAGAAATAGCAGTATTTAAAACTGATGATGATGGATGCCCCAAACAGAAGTGCCACAATAGAAGAGACTCTCGTGAGGTTGGAGGCGTAATCATAGAGACAGCTTGAGGAGAGACAGGCCATTCATACAGCTCGGTTTTAGTGCGGCCTTGGAGTAATGGGACCCCCATGCTCAGATCCTTCACCTGGAAGGAAGCAGGGAAGAATTCAACCGATACATTGTTAACATTACATAAGCGGAAGACAGAGATCAGATTCTTGTTAATATCCGAGACACAAAGGATTTTGTTTAACAGTAAAGCACGAGTTGAAGAGGGAAATAGTGTAGAACCCGTATGTGTGATGGGGAGGTTGGACCCATCTGCAATTATCACATCCTCTCCCCCGTTGTACGGTTGGTGGAGAGAGAGATTGTTCAGATCAGAAGTAATGTGGTGCGTTGCACCACTGTCAAGCAGCCATTGGTTGGCATTGTAGGGAGATCCCATTGCTATGTTGGATTGTTGTTGCCAAGGTGTGAAGGAATATGACTGGTTCATCGGTTGCTGCATAGCTGACAGTTGAGGGCATCGACGAGCACTATGCCCTTGAGCTCCACAAATCTGGCATTTACCGAGGTATGGTTTTGGAGAGCGGTTATCATTCCTGTTATTGTACTGTCGGGCTGCTAGTTATTGTTGTTGTTGTGTTTGTAGTAGCCGTTTTTATTACCATTGTTGCGATTGTTGGTGTAACCAGTGTTTGGCTTGTATTGTGCAACATTTGCAAATATAGGGATGACCGAAGAGGCACCTTCAGAAGTGGAGAGAAACTTTGCTTCATGGTTTAGTAGCCGTTCATGGACTTCAGTAATGGCGGGAGGAGTGTCTTTGCCTTCAATCTGATCAATGACAGTCTTGTAATCCTCGGGTAAACCCTCCAAGATGAGTTCTATCTGGTCTTCGTGATCCATTACTTTACCGAGTATAGCCAGTTGATATAGTCTCATCGTAAGACCATGAAGGTATTCATCGTTTTCGTACCTTTAGTCCAATTTTTGAGTTGTGTCTTCAGCTGTTTAATATGGCCACGGCTTGGTTTCGCCTATGTAGCTGCGAGTTTGGACCAGATCTTAGAGGAGGTGGACGCAAGTGACACTAGTGGTTGAAGGGATATCGAAATGGCACCCAAAAGGGCACTGTAGATCAGTTGATCTTGATGTTTCCACTGTGTGTAGGCCGGATTCGGAGTTGTGATACCAGCAGTAGTAAGCGTGAGAGGAGGGATAGGAGCGGTTTCATAGAGATGGCTGGAAAGTGCATGCCCATCAAGTAAGGCATGGACCTGTAAGCTCCACATCATGTAGTTGGTTGTGGTGAGTTTAGTGACATTAGTCATGTTGATGTGGAGAAGGGTGGTGTTTAGGTTGATTGTTTCAGTCATTGTTGTCGAGATGTTTGTTTGAGAGATGGTGGCGGTCGTATGAAAGAAAAATTTAGGTTTTCAGAATCGTAAGGACTTTGATACCATGTAAGTGCTAGATGATTCTCATTAGAATAAAGTAAGCACATATTTATACAGAGGTGCATAAGAGAGTCTAGGGCCTAGTCATGTACAACAATATACTCTTGCCATTTATAGTTGGAGATATCCTTAACACAATCGAACTTATTCTTCTTCTCATTATTATCAGTCAAGGTTGCAATTGGTAACTCTATCAATCATCTGAAAATGCAAAAGCATCAAAACATAGATAGACCTGAGAGACACTTGATGCTGCTCTTTCTTATTCCCACATCACAAATTCACTTCATCTTCTGTTAATGAACTAAAATCAAACTTGTTCACATGGATTAAGGTAGAGGAGAATCTAGCCGATAAATTGCCATGTTGAATCCCATGGCTGAGTTTCACAGGACTTACCAATGATGCTTCATGTGTCACTCACAGTTCCATCTTTTGTTTTGAACTATGAGAAGTAATCAGTGAATGTTCTTGTTCCCAATAATCAGTGAATGTTCTTGTTCCCAACTCATTCACTCCATTGAAAAGGAAACCTCCCAGAAACTCTTGATTTTGTTCAAATCATCATCTATTAACAACAAATTATGTAATGGAATGAAACACTAATGGGATCAATAGTTTATTGTACCTTTTGCCTTTGCTTCACCAACTAGTTTTCTAAGAACACCATGTCCAGGATCCTGCCAGCAAAAAAACAAGATCCACATCAACAACAATAAAGATAAAGTGTCTGATATCAAACATGCAAAAATTACAAAGGAAATTGAATCACTTTTTGTGCTCGCCATGTCAGGTATTTGTGTTGTGCTTCACTATTAGCTCTCACCTGAGATGGCACCATCTCCTCCTTCATTTGGATTGTCATCTTAAACCATGCCTGTAGGGTAAGAAAAATGATAGATTCAATCATGTCTCCTGTAAAAAACCTTAGCTTTCGGTAGGACACATAACCAAAAAATACATTGTACATGATAATATTCGATGAACACAAAGAACAAAGACTTATGTTTCTCTTGGCTAGACGAAAACCTAATCCACATCATCAAAGACTAAAAAAAACTTTATAGATTCATCCGAGACCGTTATTATTATTATTATTATTATTATTATTACTATTACTATTACTATTATTATTACTATTATTATTATTATTATTATTATTATTATTTCATACACTATGCAATTGAGTAGTTTAGAGTTTTCTTATGGTAACATCAAGTCTCCATCATTTTGTTCAACACGGACCTGATCACTTGAGCATAACTAGTAGAAAAAAAAAGCAAGATCCCCTACACTCATGGGATATTTATAAGAGTGCATAAACTTTAGGGACCAAAAGGTAACATACCGGACAAATGGGATGTTTATATAAGACTGCATTAACTTGGAACTCATGTGTAGTAAAAACCTATAAAAGAAATTTTTCATTTTCCGCCCTTTTAGTCTCCCATAGTCTTCCCCAAAGATTCATCTTCCAGTTTCAATAAGAAATCTGATGTTGAGTATCTATGGTTGCAAGAAAGGGTCGAGTTTTTTCCTTGCTTTTGATGAAAACTCTCCATCTAGTTTGCACATTTTTGTAAAAATCTCTGGGAAGTGAATATGAAAGGTGAGAATCATGCCTCTTAACTTCTCCAGAAAATCCGGGACTGAGGAACCCAAAAATAAAAGGAGAACATATTTCTCGGGAGATTTATCAAATATAGATGAACATTTACTACTCTGAGAATAATCTCTGAATTCAATTAATATTCATTGGGACCTGTATTTAAACCACGCAGCCATGGGGAAGCTCAAAAGCCTAATCTCACCTTTCAGGTTCTACGAAACCTCTTGCTATTCCCAACCATTGTTTCGATGTATATACATATATATACATATATATATATAAAGAGAGAGAGAGAGAGAGAGAGAGAGAGAGAGAGAGGGGGAGAGAGGGAGAGGAAGAGGGAGAGAGGCGAATCCTTGTATTCCCACTACATCTAGAGCCTGATTTGTGAACCCTTTTCATTAAATTTGTTTGTTTTCATTCCAGTTTCCAATGGATGAAATCAAAGAGAAATCAAAGTTTAGACTGAGACTTCTGATTGATGAGAAGAGAAACAAAGTTGTTCTGGCTGAAACTTGTAGGGATTTTGTTGATCTACTCTTCAGTTTTGTAACGTTGCCAATGGGCACCATTGTCAGATTGCTTGATAAGCATCAAAAGTTGGAGCCAGTGAGCGTTGGGTGTTTCAACAACCTCTACACAAGTGTTTCAGATATGGTCGTTGATGATTTCGAGACTGAGGCTTGCCAAAGTATGTTGCTGTATCCAAGGAGCAGCAAGGAGATCCATTGCAGGAGCCTGAAGCTGAACATTGATGATACTGAGGCCCATATTTCCGGAAGAGGGAAAGTTGTAGGCAGTACAACAATTTTATCACTTCGAGGTGTATATGTGGAGATTTGATGACAAGACAGGTTCAGGTTTCGGAAGAGGAGCAAATTGGAGGCTCAATAGGAAATGTTGAAAATGGAGTGTTTGTCAGCTGTCGTTCCTCTTACATTGTCACTGATGATCTGAGAGTGACATTGAGCTCTCTCGGTGTTATTGGAAATGTTCTCAAAGAACTAGGATATGCAGATTTTGATGGCTTGCAGGAAATCCTTCTTGATGCTGGTTTTGAAGAGGTACATTTTGTTTACTATACTCTTTCATTGTTCTGCATGTGTTCTTTTTTCTAATATTACCCAAATTTAGGTGCTGACTCTACTGAGAATATATTCGTTTCGGAATTTCCGTTAAACATGCACATTCCTTAGAAATCTTTCATGGCAAGGAGGAAAAAAAAGTTGTCTACACATAAGCCGAAAATGGAGCATGTAAATGGAAGCGACGAATGTTTTGTGAAGTTATTTGTTAGAAAGTTTGACAAGAAGATTCTTTATGCAGAGTGCAGCAAAGACTTCATTGATTCTCTTGTCACTTTTCTGGTTTTACCTCTTGAGTTGGCGTGGTCATTATCTAATGACAGTACCATTTTGGGATGTGTTGCAAATTTGTGCCGAAGTGAGTGTAGAGGAGCTTTAGCTTCCACATCCTGCGAGATTCCTTACTATTATACTTGCAGTAAAAAAATTCTTGATATTCCGACTCAGCCAGCAGTAATATATGAATTTTCACTTTTTTTTTCGTCGGTTATCAATATGGCATGGCGGATTTAAAAACCTACAACCAGAGTTTTACTCATGAGACCAAGGGATCCTAAAATTAAGCCCAAGAATCCTTCAATATATGGTATTGGGTTTGTGAAGAGAGATGCCAAGCTTATAGAGTCAGATGATTTGGTTATCACTTCTATGAAGTCATCATCAACCATTGGCTTGTTTATGAAGAGTAAACCAATATCAGTGACCTTGAAGAGCATGGAATTAACATTTCTAAAGCAGAAGTATGCATATTATCTTCCCTGTTTTACCTTTGTGTTCTTTGGTATGATCTTTATGCTTTAGTATCTCAACTGTTTATATTTTCTTAAATGTGTTTTCATTACAGCTCATCAGCATTCTTAGAGCTTCGTTGATTTCCCGTTCTGCATTGAACAATGGTCTATCAAGCGTTCTGCATTGAACAATGGTCTATCAAGCGTTCTGCAAAGAAGCGGAAGAAGACATGTGATTAGCATTTGTGAAGCCAGTGTTGCATCTACTACAATATTCCAACTTTCAAAATTTCAAATATATCCTTTTGCATCTTTTTATTAACAATCTGCTTTTATTTCAGGTCCTCTATACTGTGTAAACTACCTTCCTCTACTGCGAAAATCAATATTCTCTGAAGAATCTCAAGTCATCTCCCATTCTTATGGTTTGGCATCATCTGCAACAACTATTTTAAGTTTAATCTTTTATTCCTCTATTCTCTCAAGTTTTATAAGTCTCTTAATTTGATTTTGATGCTATTTCTATGCACTTCATTGAGTAGGTTATAATTTACTATCTTCTCAATTATCTTGTCCGTCTTATCTTCCTTTAGCTAACTGAAGATCAATAGACTCTGTAAACTTAAGACATAAAAAAATGAACATAAGTAAACCGGTAATCATACAAATTTACATTTTCTTACCAAAAATTCATTGATAATGAGATTACAAACTTCTTTAGCAGACCTAGAGTAAAGATTATTTATGTTATTTATTAAAATATTTACTTTGAATCAAAAAATATTTACAAAAGAATTTACTATGTGCTTCTTGCAGATCATTTGGGCAAAAAAGTTGTCGGCTATGATTTTGTTGACTTTTTTTCTATTGTTTCTCACCACGCCATTGAGAACTATTGTGAAACTGCTGGATAAGTGGTAACAAAAGGTCTCCATAGGTTGTTTCAAAAATTGATGGGGGCAAGGTGAAACAAAAACTGATGGGGGCAAGATGTGAAAACAAATTCCCAACAAACACTAATGAGATTTTCTCTTCATACATTTGCCTTTGTTTCACCGACTAGGTTTTTTGCCTTTGTTTCACCGACTAGGTTTTTTGTTCACGATCCTGCCAACCTCTTCTGCTCAAACATGCAAATAAAATTTTGTGCTCGCCATGCATGACAGGTATTTTTGTTGTGCTTCACATTTAATTGGCTGGCTCTCACTGAGATGGCTCCATCTCCTTCGTCACTTGGATTGTCATCTCAAGCCATGCCTGTAGGAAAATGATAAATTCAGTCATGTAACCTGTAAATCCTTAGCTTTGAAAGCACACAAGCCCCTGAGATACTTGATAGTACTCGATATATGCAATTCCAGGTCCTACCTTTATATATGGTTCTATGAATTTATCTATGCTAGCTGATCTTCAGCTTTGTACAAAATCAAATTAAACATGGTTGATCAAAACATTCCATTTACTTTTTTCAAAAGTTTCATTTTTATTTTAGTTGGTCTTTTTTATCTTTTTAATAATTAGTTTTTAACTTATATTTTTATTTTGTCTTTTTAAAAAATTCTATTATTTTATTTTATCGTGATATTTGGCAAAATTAAATCACTTAATTTACCGTATATTACAATTTTTTTAAAATACTAACTTTAACACCAACAACTTTATATAATAAAATAATATAACAGATAAGAGTAAATGTTCGTAACACATCATTTTTATGCTACCTTCACTTCAACCAGAGCAAGTCCTCCACATATGACCATCATCATAGTACAAATCAGATTACGTTGAGGAGGTACCAACAGTGCCGGACCAAACTCATTGGGCGTCTAAAGCATACCAACAAAAAAAAAATACTGCCCTCTATTAAAGGAACCTATATTAAGGCAACCTACATAATTTAAGGCCCTGGGTACCATCGAGATTACAAATCAAAAATATCCAAAAAGGGAATCGGAAGTTGGAAAAAAAAACAAGCTACCTACTGTGGTTGATTTTCTACGCAAAAACAAGTAAGAAACAAACTAATAAAATCAAAAACAACAACTCCGGGGTCTAAACTCCAAATCTTCACTCCCAAGTAACAGAGATCATCGAATTATCGAGGCCATATTGCTCGAAAGTTGCGTCATCTCCAAAATCCAGAAATCTTGAAGCACCGTGAACCACTTGTACCAGATTAAACGCCCTTTTCTCAGATTCCTCCATGTGAGAGCAACAAAAATACCAGAGATACTGAATCGGTTCGCTCTTGAGGAATCTTTTCTCCTTTATTCTCCCATCTGGAAACCTAACGGAGAGACTGCACGCATCGCTTAGATCCTCCTCCTCCACCTTTACTCCTGCAGTCTCTTCGAGTTCGGGAGCCACGATGTGATCAACGTTGTTGCTTGACGAACAAGTCTCCTCCTTTTCAAACTCTTCACCACAAGAAGGAGCCAGGACTTGATCGGTGCTGTTTCTTGACGAACAAGTCCCCTCCTTTTCAAACTCTTCACTATGAGCCGGGACTTGATCGGTGTTGTTTCTTGACGAACTATTGTGTTCCTCCTTCGTTTCTTGGCGTATATTCCTTGTCAGAGAAGCTATTTGTTCATTGGGACCAGCCTCCTTAAACCGCAACAAACCCTCGACAAAACTGTTAGTCTCGATCTCGCCGCTCCATGAACGCATCTCCTGACCAGTGAAGGGATCGATGAGGAGCACCACAGGAGGAGCAGATTCGATCTTGTAAAAAGTAGAGATTTCTTTTCCTTCATTGGTATCATCATAGACTTGCCATAAGATGAAGCCGGACTCGATGACTTGAGAAACGGCTTCGTTCAACCATAAATCTAGGTTACGCATATGACTAGGAGAAGCAAACTCGGTCGCGGATTGAAGATTCACTAGCAACCATAGATTCTTCCTGGACGAAGTTGATTTTGCGTCTTTAAACGAACCTTGGAAAAGAAGTTTCAGAGGAGGACGGTACAAAGACGAATATCTCGAATCTGATTTAACAGAGGCCAAATCATGAGACGATTCTGGTTTTGAGTCCCAGATAACTCCCACCAGAGTCCCTGATGAGTTTTGAGTAAACAGAGGTTGATTATCACAGATGTGATTAGTGACTTCTTCAAGATTCCGAGTTGTTGTCTTTCGTAATGGAATTGCGGTTTTCATGGTTTGACCAACATCGTTGTGAATCTCCATGGATGATGAGACCAGTTTCTGTTGGTCGTCACTCCTTGTTTCAGTCTCCATTGTTTCTTAGCGAGAGAGAAAGAAGAATTCGAGAGAACTGAAAAAGAAAGCGATTGAGGTTTTTTATTACCTTTTGCTTCAGTTTATATAGATACAGAACTTTGTAAGGTTTTGTGTTCCTTCTCCTGTTCAGTTTTGGTTAATGGAAAAGGGCAAAAAAAAAAAGGAAATTCTAAAAAGATTATGAGTTTTGGTTTATTTGGTTTGAATCTTATCTCTGAAGCTGCTTGTTTTACCTTTATTCTTTTCGGAAGCCAATTAAATTTTGTTTTTAAACCATCTGAAAATGACTAAAAAGGTATGTAATTGGTTCTTCATATTGAATTAAAACAAGAAAACAACAGGTCTTAGGAATGTGAAGAAAATATGTAAGAAAGTTGAGTGTCTTTGTTAAGTGGAGTTACAATTATTCAATTCCATGAGGAAATTTCAACGTGATCACACGCAATTATACTAACAAGAGCTTCCTCCCTAATCTTTTTACCAGCAAAATTAATTAGTTACCACCATCATTAGCTAATTCAATAATCTTTAAGACTTTAAACGACCTCAGTAGTTGATCTATGTTTTGAACGTCACTGGAGAACAGTTTTAGTTGATGAGGGTCTCACTGAGATTACAAATGACTATTTAAATTAGCAAAGACAGACAACTTTTAACTTGAGAGAAAGAAATTTATGATTAAAATAAAAGCTGTTCGTTTGATTTATCACCGGATTTCGCTAATCTTGATTAGAAAACGTATAAAGAGTTATCCTATGTACTGTAGTAGTACTAGTTGTCAAAAGACAGCGTCTAAACTTTCGACTTTGGGTTGCAGATGTACAAAGACAACAAAAAAAACTTCATATTGGTAAACCGAAAAAGTGATATATGTTGTGACAGATACATATTTCAAATTAATGTTTGAATTGACCAACAAAAGTCTGGGATTACAAGAATGAAAGGTTATTTCATAACTACTTCCACATAAACTTGAAAATCTTCACTCCCAAGTAACCGAAACAATCGAGTTAGCCAGACCAGATTGGTCGAAAGTGTTGCTAGCTCCATAGTCCAGAGTCTTTGAAGCACCAGGAATCGCTTGGACCAGCTTGAACTCCTTTTTCTCGGATTCGTCCATCTGAGAATAACAGAAAGACCAAAGAAGCTGAATCGGTTCGCTCTTAAGAAACTTCCTCTGCTTTCTTCTCCCATCTGGAAACCTAACGCAGAGACTGCACACAATGCTTCGATCGCAGTCTCCTTTTGGCTCTTCTGTCAAAGCCGGAAACCCTAAGCAAGTGTCCTCCTCCTTGACTTCTGCAGACTCTTCAAATTCTTCATTCAAAGGAGCCAAGATGTGGTCACTGTGGTTGCTTGACGGACAAGTCTCCGCCTCATGTTCCGTTAGCTCTTCAAGTTCTTGGGGTGCCACGATGTGATCAGTGTGGTCCACAGAATATTTAATATCCGTAGACATGTTTTGATTATCCGTAGTGTGGTTTCTTTGAGAACAAAACATGTTTGTCTTCATGCGTTTGTTGCTTGTCTGAGAAGCAATGTGTTCATGAGGACCAGAATCGATGTACTTCGTCAAATCCTCGACAAAGCTCTGGGAATCAATCTGGCCGGTCCATGAACGCATCTTCTGGCCAGTGATGGGATCGATGAGGAGCACCACAGGAGGAGCAGATTCGATCTTGTAAAAAGTAGAGACTTTCTGTCCTTCGGTTGTATCATCGTAGACTTGCAATAAGATGAAGCTAGACTCGATGGCTTGAGAAACCGCCTCGTTTGACCATAAATCTCGGTTAAGCGCATGAGAAGCAAACTCGATCGTGGATTGGAGATTCACTAGCAACCACAGATCCTTTCTAGAAGATGTTTTTTTCGCGTCTTCAAACGAACCTTTGAAAAGAAGCTTCCGAGGAGGACGGAACAAAGAAGACAATCTCAAATCTGATGATCCATCAGAGGATGAATCAGACGATTCTGATTCTGATTCTGATTCCCAGATCTTCTCCGAATGTACTTCGAGCGGAGCTTGATTCATGGAAGAAGATTCACAGAGAGTAGCCCTAACCGAAGGTAGAGGAAGAGGGATTTGTTCTTCTTGATAGCCACTCCTATACTGTTGTGATGAGTTTTGATTATTAGGAGGTTGATTATGGATGAGAAAGAGGTTAATGGCTTCTTCAAGGTTCCAGGTTGTTGCCTTTAGGAATCCTATTGCGGTTTCCATGGTTTGACCAACAGCGATCTCCATGAATGATGAGATTAGTTTCTGCTGGCTGTCACTCGTTGCAGTCTCCATTGTTTCTTAGAGTTATAGGAACAAAGAAAATTCTAGGGAACTTAAAAATAGGGATTGAAGAAGACAGAGAGAGATTTTGTGAGAGTTTCACTGATTCTGTTTATATAGAGATAAGGCTATTGACTCTTTAGGTTTTTGTTTCCTTTTTTTCTTATTAGGTTTGTTCAGCGAAAGAGTAACTTTACTAAAGGGAAAAGGAAATTAAAAAGTCCAATTCACCGTTTGTTTTGTTTGCTAAATATTTATACACACGGTAATTTTAGGCTAAAAATAATGGAGAAGCTAAAAAAATTTCAAACTTTACAATTTTTCATTTGTTCTTTTCGATTTTATCTTTTAGTAAAGTCTTCTTGAATAGTTAATTTTTTGGTAATGTTTCTTAATCTTTTAAGAAGGTTTTTCAAAATACTAAAATCTAATATTGTTTCATACAATTTATGAAAATTTTCTTAAAATTTTAAAACTTTACTTTAGAAACATATTCTTAATTTGGAAAAGTTTTCTTAATTTTTCAGAAAGACCTTCATAAATATGTATGATCGTTTTCTAAATGTAACTTTGTAGATTTATAAATTTTTGATTCAGAAAGGCCTTACTAATTTTCAGGAAGGCTTATACATCATTTAGGAAGTCTTTCCTGGTCTATATTGTTTTAAAAAGTTCATCCTAATTTAAATCAGTTTAGTCAATTTAAATAATTTAGTTAGACATGAAGGAAATAACAATTTGTACTACTTTTTATTGATTAAAATGTTTTATTTGGGTGTCTCAATTAAGAGCAAATGTCATAGCAAATGTCAGAAATCAATAGATTCACTTAATTATGTATTCAAAAAGGTTTTTCTATTTTTTAGAAATTTAGGAAGGTTTTCCTAATTCGTCAGAATTAACATTCGAATTAGAAATCAGTGGAGGAAAAGAAAGAGGAAACATATTATACAAAACTAAAAAATCTCAATTCAGAGAAAGAAGTTAACAAAGATAACCCCAAATTAAGCAAATCAGCATCAAAATCAATGGACCAAAAATCGGTAGAGAAGAAAGAGGAAAAAACAACTTACATAAATCTGAGAAATCTCAAATTAGAGATAGAAGTTAAACACTAGTTTGGTGATAAGGATAAGAAATCTGGCGACAGAAGCTAGAGATTGAATTTTGCAAAGAAAATAAAGCTTTTAAAGTATGACCTCGTGAGAGAGAGAAGTTACGATAAAAATGAAGAAAAAAAAAGAAAATATTTGGAAATAAATTTTTTTATTAAACTAAAGGTAATAAGATCAATTAATAATAAAAGATGTTATAAATGTAAAGTTTTCACTGTATGTAGTATTTTAGAAAAAAAACTAGTTTTCATTTATTTTGAGAAATCTATACTATTAAAAGAGAAGCACTACTTTGAAATGTCCAAACACTATCATAGTATTTACTAAATGTGTCATTACTTTTGCTAAATTTCATTAATTCATTAATAGTAATATCTTCTAATTACAAATACACAAAATGAGGTGGGTTTATATTGGATTTCATTTTTTTTTTGGTACGAATGTGGGGATGATGTCCCCAGTTTTATTTAAAATTAAAAGTGCTGTTACAAACGTACATTACGAACTGACTCAACCCCCTCAATGTCTTCCGTCGCTATGGTCTGAAGCTCTTCCGGAGGAGACTCCATTATCCTGATGCCAAGAGGTTGTGCGAAGGCTAGATTTGCTAACCCATCCGCCAATCTGTTGGCTTCTCTGAAAATATGTGAGACTCGGACTTCCCAGTCCTTTTTGATAAAGCTGTAGCACAGTTGTGCTAAGGAATGACATAGGATGCACATCACTCACCTCTGAATTTAGCAGATCCACTACTACTTTCGAATCCACTTCAATCTCTCATTTCGGGACTCTCTTCTCCCAAGCAATAAACAAACCATAGTAGACTCCCCACAATTCTGCCAATAACGCAGAACATATGTCAATATTCAGTATAAAACCCCCTAACCAATCTCCACCTGCATTTCTCAAAACTTCTCCAGCTGTTGCGGGACTTGGGTTACCCCTAGATGCTCTATCTGTATTGAGTTTTGTCCAGCCAATCAATGATGGTTTCCACGCAACTAAGAGCTCCACTCCGGCACTCATCTGAGCATTTCCCCGAACTTTCAGATGAGCTTCGAAGGCTTCCTTAGCTAGATCCTTGATGAATCTCACTCGGTCTCGACATTTAGCATTTGTTCCAAATACATTCCCACACCGCCATTTCCAGCTCCATCAGATTGCAACTGAGAAAAGCATTGACCAAGGACAGCCAAAGGTCTCCGAGTAATCCCCTAAGTTCTCGAAACACCACTCAAGTAAAAGCTTTTCAAAGAACAGCCTGCGTTTTTGTGCCGGGACAATTCTGTTCCATATGCCTTCCATTGCAGGGCAGTCTCTCAAGATATGTAAAATAGTTTCGTCTCCACCTTTGCAGACCTGACATACTCCCGTGTCTATGAGATGTCATCTCAATCTCTCCACATTCGTCATGATTAACTGGTTTACTACTGACCAGATAAAAACTATGACTCTCTCTGAAGCCACCACAGACCATACACGAGCAAACAGAGCTTTCAGACATTAACCTGATATGTCCTGTCTCGTGAGAAAAGCATACGCTGTCTTTACCGTGAACTCACCATTCTGGCTATGTCCCCAACTGATCCTATCTTTTGCTCCCATAACATTATCCAGGACCACTGCTGCAAGCTGCAATCGAACATGAGGAGACAAGTAGCCTGACAGTTGAGGAAACATCCATCCCATCCTGTCTCTCCAAAACTCTTGGACCATCATATTCTCCATCTAAGTTGGAACCTCTGTCTCTGCCATGTCTACTAGGAGTGTGTTGAGTAGCCATTTTTCCTTCCAAAAATGAATCCTACACCCATCACCAAGTACCCATTTCACACCTGGTATAACCACTTCACGCATCCCTGCCATAACACTACGTCAGGTAGATGACCACGTTCCCTTCACGGTAGTCCAAGATAAGTCATTTAGTTCTGCCACTCTGTACTTACTCTGCAGTATTCTAGCCCAGAGACTCTCCTTATCCTGAAGAAGGCGCCAACTAATTTTTGCAACAGAGCCTTATTCATCTCGTCGAAGTGACGAATCCCCAATCCTCCCTCTCGTTTTGGTGTACAAACTCTTTTCCATGCCATCATGTGTTGTTTCTTCTATTCCAGTGTATCTCTCCACACGAAAGACCTAGAAACTTTATCCAACCTTGAGAGGACTGACTTGGGTAAGGCAATCATACTCATAGTATGTAGGCATTAAGGAGAGAACAGCCTTTGTTAGCGTTATTCGTCCTGCAAAGCTCAGCATTCTTCTTTTCCACCCTGCTAAACGAGAGGAGACTTTCTCTAGAACATCCCCGAAGGTGTCTTTGTTGATTCCCTTTGGCAGCATCCACTAATTCGGAACTAATTTGAAAGCCATATTTCGACCCTTCCTCTGTAAAATCGGCATTCTCAGATACTTCCCCAGATCTCTTGTTGACTGTATACCACTTTCTTGGCTTATTAAGACCCCCTGCTCACGACTAACATTCCTAGAGAAGAAAATTTTCGACTTTTCTAGGCTTACTTTCTGTCCCGAAGCAACACAGAAACACTCAAGCACCCTCCGTATTACTCGGACCTGCGTCAACGAAGCTTCTGCAAAGAGGATCGAATCATCTGCAAAGCATATGTGAGACAAACTAGGACCTCCACGAGAAATCCTAATAGGTTTCCACTGGTTGGCAGCAATAGATCCCTCTATCAAATGGCAAAGTCTCTATAAACATAGTACGAATAAGTAAGGAGAGAGTGGGTCCCCTTGGCGCAGACCTCTCTGTGGTTTAAAAGATTCAGTTTGTTCCCGATTCCACAATATTGTCATCGAAGGATTAGTAACACAAGTCATTATCCAACCAATCCAATCTTCTAGTAGCCTTGCCGGTGTAGTGTATCTTCCAAGAAGTCCCAATGGATACGGTCATAGGCTTTTTCTAAGTCTAGCTTCAGCAACATCCAACCTTTCCTTCCTCTTTTGCGGTGCATAGAGTGAACAACTTCCTGTACGACCACAATGTTGTCAGTGCTTAATCGTCCGGGAATAAAGCTCGCCTAAGCAAGACCAATTTACTGATTTTGAGTTTTAATTTTACAAGAAGAAGATTAAGAAAAAAAGTATTCATAACAATATGATTTTAAGAAATATATTACGAAATTTAATAGATACAAAATATATCTAATATTCTTTACAAACATAATTTTAGGAATCACATGGTTTTAGGAAAGAATATATAATATTTTGTTAGAAAATACGATCATAAATGTTTTTTCTTAAATCGATTTTCATTTACTTTCTATTTCGATCAAAAATATTTATTCTCACAATATCTTATATTTATATAACAATTCTTGCTTGCGTAAGATCTTGCAAATCAACATCCTTTTAGGTGACCAACATATTGATATATTTCATGAAGAAAACGGAGTTAGCAATGATCTATATGATTCTATGCAGATTTGGTTATAAAATTCTGTCTTGAATTTTGCTTTTTTCTTATGAACTTCTATGAATACAAAAAAAATGCTTATGTTTTATTTCTGTCTTCGTATGCCATGGGAAGACAAAATTTGTTTCTGATATTAATATAGATCCTTAATGTAGAGTCTACATGAATGTGGAAGCAACTGAATAATTTTAAAGAAACAATGGAATTGAGAAATATTAATATGTTTTATTGTTAGTTAATGTCTATTAGTTTACTTATATTTATCATTAAAAATTTAACTATACACTTTAAACTTGATTTTTATGACATAACTAGATTACCTAAGATAAATTGATGTTGAAACAAAATTAATGGTCTTATTTCTCACAAAAATTTTAGATTGATTTTATATAATTTTCTGATGTTATATCGATTAAATATTAAAAAAAATAACTGCTTCATATCTAGTGTTTCTTTAATAAGATATAAATTTATTGTTGTTTAAAGTTCATAAAGATCATGTTTAATAAATAAATAAAATTATAAATAATAAAATTTTGAGAAATTGATATCATCAAAACAATATTTATAAAAAAAAAAAAAAATTAGTACTATCCAGGGTATGGATGGTTTGAGTATATCTGTATACTTTATAAAAAGAAACAATTCACAACATTTTGGGCAAAATTTTTAATATAATTTTTTGGGGCAAAAGAAACAATTCATAAATTTATTTTCTGGAAAAATCCAATCTTCCCGATTAGTAACAGAGAAAGCGTTCGCGACCAAACCATTTAGTGCAGATCTGCAGTGGAAGTACAGTCTCACAGCGAATCGTTGAAATTCGCGCTCTAATTGTCCGTTTCAGTTCTCCGGCCGAACACAGGAAGATGTGCGGTAGGGCTCGCTGTACTTTGAGACCTGACGATGTCCCCAGGGCTTCTCACCGCCATGGCGTTCGTACCCGTTTTCTCCACCTCGACCGGTCTTTTATCCTCTTCTCTCTTCTATTTTCTCGATTTCCAATTTCAATTAGTTTCCCAAATATGAACTTCTTTTACAATTTCAATTAGTTTCCCAAAAAAGAAAACTTCTTTTACAATGTTGGTTTTGTTGTTAAGCAGTTATCGTTCTTCTTACAATGTTGCTCCGGGATCTTATATGCCGGTTCTACGGACAGACAATGATGGTGTTGCTGTCCACTGTATGAAGTGGGGATTAGTCCCTGCTTTCACTAAGAAAACTGATAAGCCTGACTTCTTCAAAATGGTAAAACTTTACCACTAAGTTTGTGGGTTTTTGTTTGTCTTGAAAGTTATATTATCTGTATCTTGTTTGGTAGTTATAAGATTTGCATCTGTTTTGTCTCTCTCATATCGTTTGCCTTGAAAGTTATTATTTGATATTTGTGTGCTTGTTTTGGTTTACATATATGTTTTGCAGTTTAATGCTCGCTCTGAATCGGTAGCTGAGAAAGCGTCTTTTCGTCGGTTGCTTCCAAAGAATAGGTGTCTTGTTGCAGTTGATGGGTATCTACTATCTCCACTTCCTTTCAAATTATAATCCATGTTCAATCTATGTGTCACAAGATGTCGCCATCATAACTTATATTCTCCTCAGATAATACCGGAAGAGTGTCTCGTTTCTTAAATGTTACTGTCTTTACTCATTTCATGGTTACTCTTAAGGCTATATAGTGTTAACTTGATTTCTGTTTACAAAACTTTTGTTTCTCTAGGATAGGATTGTTTATAAACTTTTGCATCCATTTGTTCTGCTTTTATATTTGCTATCTGAACACTTTACTTACCATTTATCAATGTATAGTGTTGGGATCACAAAGCTAATAAACCTTTCATTTATCAATGTACATATATATACATGCTTGTATCACAAAAGGCTTAAAAAGTACTTAACAATAAGATTCGTCTTTCAAGGTTTTATGAGTGGAAGAAGGAAGGTTCAAAAAAGCAACCCTACTACATCCATTTTAAGGATGGGAGGCCTCTAGTTTTTGCTGCTCTTTTCGATTCTTGGCAGAACTCAGAAGGTGAACCATTTATCTTTAGTTTTTTTTTTTTTTACTTTAAGCTCTGTCGATATTCATTTTGAAGCGGATCCCGGAACATTTAAAGAATCATTTTCTAGACTTCCAGTAACCTTTTAGTAGTTGTTTGAAAAGTTTATCTTTTGTAATTACTTACTGTTATCAAATTTTGTTTCTTTCATCTCTTTGCTTATTTGGTGCATGTGACACTTGAGGTGAATTAGATCTTTTGCTTTTGGTCCTTTTTGGTAGCTGGAATCACTCCCACGCTTTGAATTTAGAACATAACAGTTACTTTTTTTTTCCCATCCAGGTGAGACACTTTACACCTTTACGATTTTGACAACCTCTTCCTCGTCTGCCTTACAGTGGCTCCATGGTGAGTAATAAATACACTGGCTATTGCTGTTTCCTTATTCATATTCACTAGTGATTTTCAATGGCTTAATGGCATATGAAGTTGAGTTTTATATATTCTCTGTGCAACCTTAGGTTGAGTTCCTCGTTGTTCAAATCAAGTCCTATAGTAGTTTCTAGGTGTTTCTGTTTTTTTTTTTTTGTTACATCTGAATGATAAGCTGTATCAGAATCTTGAACTTTGAGCTTGCTGCATCAGAATCTTGCAATTCTTAAGGCACTGAGTTGAGAAAAGGACAAGGACAAGGTGCTTGTGCAATATAGTGTTAGATTAATAATGACAGTAGCTTTTCTTATACGAAAGCTTACAATATAAGCAGCTTATGATGAAAGTTTACAAAAGTTTGTTTATTTTTCACTTAAAGATAGAATGCCAGTAATTCTCGGTGTCAAGGAATCAGTCGACACATGGTTAGATGATCCCTCAATGTCGAAACTGAAGCCATTACTTACACCATATGAAAACTCGGATTTGGTAAGCTTACTTTAGCTCCTCATTATGTAATAATGGTATTTTCTTTATTCACATACATGAGATTAAATTTTCAGGTATGGTATCCAGTAACCTCTGCAATTGGTAAACTATCTTTTGATGGACCAGAGTGTATTCAACAGGTAGGTGTATCAGTTTTCCCTTTGGAGTCTACAACATAAACACATTTCTCAGTTGGAATCTTCTTATTCTCATATTATGCCACATGCAGTTACCCGTAAAGGCTTCACAAAACAGCTTGATCTCGAAGTTTTTCTTAGCAAAGCAGCCGAAAACAGATGAAGGAGACAAAGAAACCAAGGCGACAGATTCAAACATCTCAGTTGATTTGAAAGAGGAACCTATGGTTGAAAGTTATAAAGGGGATGTATTTTCTGACAGCAACAAGAAAGCTGAAGAAGTAGATGAGGAAAAAGATATATCGAATGAAGCCCAAAATCTAGGTTTTCATAAGAGTGTGAAAGCAGAACCATTTATTGAAGATAGCTCAGCTGTTGCATCACATCTCGAATCTGTAAAGAATGAAGTTGAGGAGGATACAAGTGAAGAAGATAAATCCATTAAGACTGGTCTTACTAAAGTAATAGATGAGAGCAATGCTAGCATACCGGCTGAGTCCGAGAACCAGCTTGACGAATCGAATCAGCTTGAGCTCCAGCATGAGGCTGTTCAAGACAAACAAGGAAGTGAAAACGAGAAGGAAGGTGGCTTAGAGTTTAGGGAAACGTCTTCAGGAAAAAGTGGGACGAAGAGAGACTATGGGTTATTCTCAGCTCAAGAAAAGCCATGGAATCAATCTGAGAGGTTGCAAGATGTTAGAAGCCGTGGGAAACATGGAAAGGGGAAGTCTAACATCAAGAAATCTAAGGAAACGCAGTCTACATTACATTTCTTTTTCGATGAGAAATAGTTCGTGTCTACATAACATCGATGAAGACCATGTTGTGGGTAATTTGGTTGTAAGGATCCGTCGATGTTTGTATATGTAGTATGTTGTGCTCGATCCCTGAAAAGCTAGTAGTAGTAGGAACTTGATAGCCAATATTTTTCCTTTTGTTTTCAAAAATTTGGTTTTTAGTGTATTTGGCGGATTGTGATGGCACTCTTAGTCTATATTATTTTACTCCCTTTGTTGGGTATGTATATATTAGTGATAAAAAGAATATTTATCAAGAAAATTTTATTTACAAATCTTATAAATATAAACCAAAATTTTTATGATAAGTTATTAGTGAATATTAACAAAAAAATTATTAATTTTGTTTATATATTTTGTGATTATAATATTTAAGTTTCACTTTTTTTTTCTAAAAATCATTACATATACTGATTTTAAATAAATTTTACTGTTCATCCATAAACGTCCACAACCGCAAACATTTGTACGAATGAGCTTTTAATTTTAAAAAATCTACATGATAAAAAACGTATGCAATAATTGTTATCAAACATTAACAATCAGTACTACCTATAAAAGTTGTATTTGTATATATTAACAGAAAACCAATCAAGCTCACAATTATAAATTCTATCAATTATGTAAAACTGATTTTTATTAAACATTATTATCAGTTTTTTAATAAAAATTTAATGTTTCTACATATATGCAGGTTAATCACCTAATTGCTATTGTATTTGTGTCATGTTTGATGGAAAATACCAACTCTGAACACGTCAGCTATCTCAATGGCCGTGTTATCTAATGCCATGTTTCATTAAGCAATTTGTTGATGCGTTACCACATTATGGTTTTCTTCGACGGCGAAAGGGATGCAATACAAACACATTTATTCATCTTTATCTACAAAATTGTATCGAATTATTCTACGCTAAAATATGAGAATCTTACTTATTATTTGATAAACATGTTTAATAAAAAAGTTGGTGTATCAAAACCATAGCAAAAGTTAGTATTTTATAATAGTGACTTGGAAATGTGACATAACAAATTTTCTAAAATAAACAAAATATTTTGATTGGTTGAATTATAATTAAATAAATTATAAAATTATAAGATAAATACATTAGATTATACAGTAAAACTTCTATAATTTAATAATGTTGGAGCCTCCAAATTTTATTATTTTATAAAGTTATTAATTAACTGATAAATTAATAATCAAATAATATTTTATTAATTTATAGAGATATTTTTTGATGTTCATCAATAGAAAAAATAAATAATTTCAACAATGTAAAATTCATTCAGAAAATATCATAACAATGAATTTGAAAGATAAATCAAACAAATTTTATAAACTTGAAACAATAATATAATCATATTTTACTATATTATTTTATTTATATATGTCTAAATGTATAATTACTAATCTATATGATTATTTTGACCATATTTTTATATAGAAATTCTAAAAAACTTATTATCTTATTAAAATTTGCTAATTTTTAACTGGCCCACTTTGTACCAGCAAAATTTATTAACTTGAAATGATTATTAATTTATCAATTATTAAATTATAGAGATTTTACTGTAACACTAAAATTAACACAGGTTAAATTAACAGAAAATGATAGATTACATAAAATATGATTGCAAGTAAAAGTAAAAATAAAAATATTTCACTACAATTTTGGTTTTTGTAAAACTCCCATGCTTTGTTTCCAGAGTTATTTAAAAATTATAAATAGAAAAATTTATATAGTGAACTCATGATATACGAGTTAAAATTTATAATAAACACATACGTACAGTCCAACCATAAAAAATTATTTTTTTATCAATTTAATTTCTCAGTAATGAACGAAATGATGAACGGAGATGTGCTAATTTTTTTCTATAAAATATGATTTCACAAATTTTATAACAATTTTTATTTTTATTAATACTAAATTATCCAATGTACTATATGTATTTTCATAGCATACAATAAAATATTTTATTTTTATTTTTTAAAGTTTTTTGTAGTTTTGTTAATTTTTAGTATAATTTTTAATTTGAAATCGCATCAAAAATGCTAAAAAAAGAAATTTTGATTAAATAAAAAATAATATAAACTTTTTGTGATTGTTATTAAACGCTCAAAACTGCATTATGTAAAAACATAATGTTTGTGAAAAATATCAGAAAAACTAATAATGACCTAAATATTATAACTTTATTTCTAACATGTATATGCATGCACAAACAAAAATATTTATTTCTTTTTAAAATTCAAACATACATTATAAAAAATTATATTACAAACATATACTTTGTTATTGTTTTAACGCATAAATGTCATATTTCTATATTTTCACAAATATGCGTGCAAATATGAATATTTCCCATGCAAACTTGTCATCTATGCATTTTGTTAACCTCAATTACAGTTTAATTTTTATTTTAATTATAAGACAACTTATATATATTTTTTAAAAATCTCTATGTGCGGATCAACTATCTATCTGCTCTTAGGATAAGTAATATGGTAAAACTTATTTTTGTTTAATTTGTAATAGATCAAAAAAAGAAATATATACTTCAAATATATATGTATTAGCAAGATTATATTGGATAAAGAGAAAACAAAACATAGTATATATAATATTCAATAAAATATTTTAAAAATTAAATTATTATTTAATATAACTTTACATTTATAATTATATGTCACTATAAATGCTAGATAAATAAAACTTTTTAAAATAAATAAGTTTTAGAAAACATAAAACGATATGAAACGTTTGTTTGATTGTTCTTAAATACTAAAACTTTATTTGTTTACAAACATCATATTTACAAAATGAATGAAAAAACTAATCAACACGTAAATATTACAACTAACTATCAAAAAAATCATACATACACATATTCATATTTTTATTATATAAATATATTAGGTGAAGAGAAAGCATATTTTAGCTCTGACACCATTATTCCTTCAGATAAAGACACATTGAATACCATAGACTACCCAACTGAGTTTTTGAATAGTATAAGTTTCTGGATTACTGAAGCATTGCTTGAAATTAAAGATTGGTGCTCCAGTCATGTGTCTTCGTAACATTGATCCTAAGAGTGAAATATGCAATATAACTAGATTTATTATTACTTAAATGGCTCGATATGTGGTTAAAGGTAGAATTATAACAAGAAATGAGAAACTGATTGGTCAAATAGTTCTAATCCCTATGATATATATGACACCACCTGACATAAAGTTTCATTTCAGAATGCTTCGTAGACAATTCAGTCTACCATTTGGCTTTAGCTTTCACAATGATCATCAATAAAAACCAAGGACAATCACTTGAAAATGTCGGTTTGTTTCTACTTATACCAGTTTTCTCTCATGGATAACTATATATTACATTATCTAGATTTAAGTCTAGATTCAAACTTAAAGTTTTAATAACAGATAAAGAAGGAAAAGTGCAAAAGAAAACTATAAACATCGTCTATAAAGAAGTATTTCATAATCTTGCTTAGTTTTTATGTTTTTGATATTTTTCCGTTTATTAGTTATCATATTTATATTTTATATTGAAATCTATAACACATTTTTATTCAATTCATAGTTATTTTTATTATTAAATATTTATATAATATTATTATTTAAAACATAATTAATCATGTGTAATTAATAATAAATCAATATATAATATTAATCATATATTAAATATATATAATATTTTATAGCCTGCTAACATACACTTAAGAGTGGATATTGGATGGATATTAGAATCTAGTATAACGGTAACAGAGGTTTTTGAAAGTTAAATTATCATAATAAATAGTAGTAACCTATGTCAGAAATTTAATTTTGACATTAATTGTATATATTAATTGTATATATATGACATTTCTTTTCTAAATTCCCTCTTATTAGATATAGTATTTGAAATTTTTTACTCAAAATCTAAAGTTATTGGATTAATCATTGATACAAATTCATTAAAAGTGTATATTGGACCAATTATTTGGAAAGATTTCATTTTTGTTTCCTTCTAAATCCCTTTAATCGAATCTAGTATTGAAAAAAGTATTCAAAATCCAGAGTAATTAGATTAGTCATTTATGCAAATTCATTAAATTTTTGCTTTATTGGAAAATTGAAATTTCACTAATAAGTTATATCAAAAATGATTTGGGATAATTTGAAAGATAATTTAGAATTTAAAACTAATAGATTGAAATATCATATGATGGTATTTAGAATAATTAAGAAGGCAGAATTTTTTTAAATCATTTTAAAACTTTAAATTCATTAAAATCTTCTTGAATTTGGATTTATCACTAATCCATGAAGATTTTAAAACTTTAAAATCATTTTGCTTTTTTTTGTACGAATTTTGTTATCAATGAATTTTTCTATATTTAAAATCTATGTAGGAAAGCTTTAATAGAGTGTGACCAATAAACAAATTTTCATAAGATAATGGATAATTCTCATATTTACCATGAAAATAAGTTTTCTGGACAAAAATAACAGGGAAGCTAAAAAATTTTATTGTATCTTTCCAATTTTGCCATTTAGGAAGGTATTGCTGAATTTTTTTTTTTCTGTTAATATTTCGTGATTTTTTATAAAGGTCTTCCAAACACTAAAATTTAACATCATTTCATATGATTTAAGAAAGTCTTCCTAAAGCCTTTCTCAATTATACGATTAAGTTTTCCTAAATTCATATAATGCCTTCCTTAATTTATATATTTTAGAAAAGCCTTCTTAAAAGTTTTGAAATATTTTCCTAAATTTACTCTCATTTCCTTTTTCGCTTCTGCGACACTCAATCCCTAATTTTCGCTGATTTTTTTTTTTTACCATTGTTGTTGTTTTATTTCGGATTTCTTGAGATTCTCACCCAATTATGTCAGATTTATTTTCTACTATATGATTTTAGACAGGAAATCTTGTGGAGTGAACAACGATTTAGTCACATGGATATTTAATGGATCTAGTTCAACATCATTGGTATAGATCCATGAGAAATCTATGTTATTCCTCCGACTTGATGACAAGATTTTATCGTAGACTTGATTGGCATCGATGCTAATCAGAGATCCGATCTCACATAGTCCAGCGATGATGATGAAATAAGGAAAAAAATGGTCGACAAATTTTTTATTTATATGAGGACAAAAAGTCAAAGCATTAATGAAATATGTTACCTAAATAATATTTTAACGTATTTGTGTATATGTTACCTAAATAATATTTTAACATACCTAAACAACTTGTTTGTATGACATCTGAAGAACTTTCTCTAAGATAATTATCTGATTAATTATACAAGAACAAAATTTAAGACAAATCAATGCGTCATCCAAAGAAGAAACTATGTACAGTCAATGTCAATATTTTAATTAATCATAGTTGTTGAAAAAATGTAAACATATCACTACCAAAAAAAAATAGTAAACCTATAAAAAAAAACCAATGTATAGAAAATCAATTAATTAAAATCTGAAAAAGTAAATCTAAATATATTACCATATGATTATATCTTTGCCAACAAAGAAAATCCAAATATTACTATAATTTTTCTGTAAAAAATCCAAATATTATAAGTAATTACATATATGAAGGATAACAACTGTTTGACAAAAAAAAAACAAAAAAGAGATCATCATAAATATAATTATGTATATATATATATTACGTGTTTTGAACTACTGATCACTTATGTTTTATTTGCAAAATCGGAAGAAAAAAAACACTAAGTACCAAAATGGCATCGTCAAGCAAATGTCTTCTTTTCATGTTTTTGTGTCTAACTGTTCTATTGATCCCAGGTATGCAACAAAAGAACCATTTTTTTCTCAATATAAAGCTATATAATACTCCATGTCAATTTGTACAATCCATTATTTCTCAATCTAATGCATTTTTGCATTATACATATGTATACATTATATAATATTCTTTATGCTTTTATAAAATTGATTTAAGTTTTTATAAATATCTCAGAAGCTACCAAAACTGACGATTCACAAAGACGTAGAATTTTTGTGATAGGTCTTTGCTCGAAGATTCCAGACTGCAATAAGAAATGTTTTGAATCCCATTACGCTGGTGGCAAGTGTTTTAAACTAACTCCCAGCGCCACTGAATTATTATGTGGTTGCAATATATAATATCAACTTATTGAAATAATGTATTATGGAAATGTTAAGTCCTTCGAATTAAAAAAAAAAAAGAATATTGTTGAAATAAAGAGAAATATTGTGGAGATCTCACACGACTAACTAAACTGCAATTTTGCCTTCATTACATTTTAACAGTCCGTTTTTATATTTAGCCAAATTTTTAAACTTTTTTTTTCCTTTGTAATAATCAATACACAGCGGATTCATATAACCATTTCATTTCATTATAACTTGTATAAAAACACTTAACAAGATTCAGGATTCTCATAAAACAAAGCACAATAGTTCGTTAATGAATACATCATATCATCTAATAACCTAAACGGTCAACACTAAAGCCCATAAGACAAAACATAAGTCTTAAATATAAAAGAACACCCAATCCCCGATCCATCCATGTTCATCACTGCCGTCGGTCTCGCTCCACTTACTATTTAGATCCTACACACTCAAACAAGAGAGGCATAAGTATTGTCATAAATACTTAGTGAGTACGGTCCCCCCCCGGAAGGGACTGGATTAGCTGGAAGTGCTGGCCTAGCTTCCTTGGGACTCCGTGTTATTGATAGACAGAAGAATCATGGTATGCACTTCCGTGTACTAGCTAAATTTTTACGATCTGGTGGAGATCATAGTCTGATGGTTGCTAGGCTCTGCCGTGGTTACATCATACGTGTCACTGGTTCGCCGAAGAAAGCGAAGTTGTCTTCAGAGAGAGTACAAGAAAATCCAGGACTTTTCAGAGTTGATCGGTGCCAGGCATCATATATTCTGGGAATCTCCTCTTCTGCATGGCTAAAGGTGAGGTTGCTGTATTTAGTCCACCAGAATTTACTGGCCGATGTAAGCTTAGCGCAGGTCAAGGTACTTTATGTTGCTGCTTGCCTTTATCTTCCAGTCTGCCAAGCAAGCTTGTTTATTCTATGTTATTGATAAATCGCTATTTCCCCCAAACCGCTAGTTTTCAAACCCTTGTCAAATATATAGTGGATTTGGACGCTCTAGCCAAAACGTGCTGGATGGAAGAACTTCATGTAGTGTGCTGGATTCTACTTCCCACACCTATCAGCTAATAATAAAAGAACAATAAACAGATGAAAGTGAGGATAAGATATGGAAGTTAGGCATATTTAAAAAAATCTGAGGTGGAAAACATTAAGAAAAAAAAGGATAAAAGAAAGGCGAAGGAGGATTTCTTGAGAAATCTTGTAGTTGAGGAAGTGGAAAAGTATCTCGACAAATATAAAAAAAAAAAATTCATGTCCGAGTTCCCCCCGACAACATTACATTGTGCAAATGGAAGTCTGAGACCCACTCAGATAAATTAAGGCCTGAGTTGGATCAAATCCACCATATATGGCTGGAGACCAAGAAAAATAAAGATAGTCTTATTAAAGATGACGTGCCGACTCAATCTTTTCTTGAAAAATGACCGGATTTAGCCCATTCCTCAAAAGAAGTTTTTATGGGATTCCTAAAAAATTTTGACTTCTGGTTCCGGCGAACGAATAATCATTGAGTTCTCCTATTTCCGGACAACACATACAAAGAAACCCGCCAACAGTCACTCAAGTAATTAGTTAACCTATGATAGATGCTTAGAAATTTTTCACACCATCGACCGACATCGACTCATCCAAATTTTGAAGGAAGAGATCGACGGTTAGAAAAACATACTTAGTAGCTCGTTAACAACAAAACGGAGGAATAATCCTGGCAAGGCTAACAACATATTCAAATAAAACGACATATAATACTAGTATAAGAGAAAGCTGGTATTCAATTAGCTAGAGAGGAAGACAAGGCTAAGGCAGATGCCAGACCCAATAGGGCTACCTTTCTTCGACTGGGACCTATCTGCTTCATCCCGAGTTTCACTTCACTTAGACACAGCCAAAGAAAAAAGGGGTGGCTAATTTCAAAGGTCAGGTATGAATGGAATAGGTAGTTGACTACACGATCTTCTTCCTGCTCAACCATTGTTTTATCCTTTTGATCCTGTAATACATTGGCCAGTACCATTCACGCATTCATACTATCGGGTTCAACATTCCACACAATCAATTCGTAATAAACATAACACATATCAAACGGCCATGATCATCTACCCTAACCACCCAAGTTCAATCCCGTTTTAAGACATATGTCTACTTCAGCGAGAATCCCACATCCCCTAAGCTAGTACTTGATCTGGATTACCCTGAGGTTAGTTAGACATCATCTATGCCACGGTAAACACCTTACAATTTCATAGTATAGAATCGTTTAACACACGCTAACACAAAACATGCAAATCACACAATCAAACATACAAGACATAACCCTAACAATCCAACGATCCTAAATACTAACCACAGTCACACACTCACCTTAGACAAGGTTAGAAACAGATTGGTCAGAAGAAATCCCGGTGTAACTCGCATGGAAACGAATATATTCGATCACCCTAGATATCTCTCGGCTATCGCTACGATTCGATCTCTCTCTCCTCGGCTATCTCTCGATCCGTTCACCTTTCTTCGAGCCAAATTCTGTTTTCCCTCAGAAACCCCACAAAACACACCTATTAGCTCGAGGTTATCCGATGGAAACTCGACACAAAGAGAAATATCCAATCGCTTACCAGTTTATCTCGGCGATGGTCAGATCTGTACGGCGATGACTCAATCTCTCTCGCCTATCCTCTGGATAAACTATTTTCTCTAGGGTTTTCTCTTTACTAATCTCTCTTTCTTGCTTTATTATTCTCAATAAATGCAACTCTCCCGAGATAAGTCTCAATACGCCTTATATACTCGCAAAATCCTAAGTAACTCGGACTTAACCGATGTTTCCCGATTACAGTAGGATTTATCCCGATCCGATTATATTATCTCAGCTATAACCCATACCAGCTCTACCATCCGCGTGATAAACCACGTTTTAGCCAACCTATTTACACACGGCCCACGGCCCAGTCCAGCTTCCCTTGGATATTCCCTTTTCTCTCGGAGAAACTACCTTTATCCGAGTTATCTCCCTTCTGTCCGGTTATTTTCCCATTCTCTCTCGGATAAATCACACTATCTCGGCTAATTTCCATTTTTCTCTCGGAGAGTTTCCTTTTCTCTGGACACAGTCCACTCTGACTCGGACTAACCTCATTTTCTCACGGACTGGACCATTTTTTCTCGGATATGGTCCATCCGGCTCGGCTATCCCAGCCATCCATCGACTATTTCCCAGTCATCACCCGATCATAGTCTTAACCTCCCAATTCCTAGCCAATATCCAAACCTTGGCTCGATGATCCCTCAGACAATGTCATGTACTGTCTCGATCATTTTAAATTTTCTCGGATACAGATGCTATAACTCTCCCCAACCCGTTTTGGATTCGCCCTCGAATTCAGCTCTTCCGTTTGCAACTTATCAAACCACTTGGGATACTCGGCTTTCATCCTAGCCTCCTTTTCCTATGTAACTTGTTCATGTCCGTCGCAATCCCATTCGACCTGAACCATCCTGACTAAATTTCCTCGCTTAGTCTTTTCCTTTCCTTAGCTGCAACACATGAAATACATTACAGAACGCTCCCAATTTTGATGGCAAGTCCAGTTTGTAAGCCATTGTGTCTGCGCCAACTCTTTCCTGTATCTGGTACGGTCCCATGTACCTCGGACTCAACTTAACATACTTAGTTGTCTTGTCTGTTTCCTTATACGTCAGTGCCTTCAGGTAATCCATGTCCCCTACACTGAACTCCAAGTCCTTGCGACATTTGTCTGTATAACTCTTCTGCCTGTCCATTGTCTCTTTCAGCTTAACCTTTAAGAATCTGATCTTTTCTGTAGTAGCCTCGACCACTGCTGGCCCCATCACGCTACGCTCCCCCACTTGTGTCCAACACAAGGGTGTTCTACACGGCCTGCCATACAATGCTGCATACGGAGACAACTCAATGCTCATATGGTAACTATTGTTGTATGCGAATTCTAGCAATGGCAAGTAGTCCTCCCAACTACCACCCTAATCCAGCACGCATGCTCTCAGCATATCTTCCAATGCATAATCATCTGTTATGACTGCCCATTAGTCTGGGGATGATATGTTGTACTCATATGCAACCGCGTTCCACACGCTTCCTGGAACTCTTTCCAGAACCTCGAAGTAAACTTCGGATCACGATCTGAAATGATGCTCACTGGCTCTCCATGCAACCTCACGATCTGATCAATGTACATATCCACCAACTTTGGTACTTCATCCGTCTTTTTCATTGGTAAGAAGTAAGCAGACTTGGTCAATCGATCCACAATGACCCATACTCCGTCATGCAGCTTCTTAAACTTCAGTAAACTCAGTAAAAAGTTCATGGTGATCATGTCCCATTTTCTTTCTGACATTGGTAATGTTTGCAATAAACCACTCGGAAACTGATGTTCTGCCTTCACCAATTGCCATGTCTCACAACCGGCCACCCACTTATCCACATCGCGTTTCATCCCAACCCAATGATAATACCATTTCAGATCCTTAAGGACCTCATCCTTTAATTCCTTCACATCCGGAACACATACCCGTCCGCTCACAAGAATTATCCCATTGATTGAAGTCTGATATCCTGTCTTATCATTCTGTGACATCTTGTTCAGATTCTCATCCTGCTCCTGAGCAATTCGAATCCTAGTCAACAAGTCAGCTTGATCCGCGAGTTCCAAGCCCAACGGTTCCATACCTTCTGTTATTGCATTCAACCGTAATATCCTTAGCATGTTCACAATGCTTCCAATGTCCTGTTCTGATGATACGTTAGCTCTCCTCATGCTCAACGTATCCGCCACCAAGTTGGCCTTTTCTGAATTGTATGCTATTTCCAAATCATAGTCTGCCACCAACTTCATCCATCTACGCTGTCTCAAGTTCAAATCCGGTTGAGTAAAGATATACTTTAAACTCTTACGGTCCGTGTATATCTGCACCTTCTCTCCATACAAGTAAGACCTCCAT